GCCTATGGTTGGTAGCAGATACAGAATAAACTGATCTTGTAATAATATATCATGCGTTATAAGCAAACGAAAATTTAGCAATAATATAACATTTTTATGTAGAATGGAGTGTATGAACGTCTTTTTAGATATTCAGTCTAGAGAGAGCTAAGTCTACCCAGACCTAATGGCTCCGCCGCCTATGACTGACACTGACTCTATAACGATGTATCATCTGCCAGAAAAACTGGAAAACTAGAAATAATAGCAAAACCTTCACATTTAATAGATCCTACAAAAGCCTTGCTCTGTCCAAGTTTGAGCCTACTGAAGCTTACCCTCAGCCAATCTAGGGTGAACTTGAGCCTACCCAGGCCTAATGGCTCCACTACCTATGGAAGAGTACTGTTCTTTAATTACTTAAAATTCAAAAGTTATTTTGAATAGAAGTTTAGAACAAAAGTTAAATTATCTTATATTAAAAATAAAGAATTCGACGTAAATATAGACGTCAACGAAACCAATCAGTATGTCACTGGGCACGAGTTTGTAATAATAAGATGTGGACTGACCTTGTAATAACGTGTCATCTGACAGAAGAACATGAAAATTATCTAATATTAGAAACATTTTACATTAAATCGAGCCTAGTCAAGCCTTTATCTGTACTGGTTCGAGCCTACTCAAGCCTTTATCTAAGCCTACCCAAGCCTACCCTCCTCCAATCTAGGGTAGGCTCGTGTCTACCCAGGCCTCGTGGCTCCGCCGCCTATGCACAAGTTTCACTCTTCTATTCTTTAAATGGGACTATTCTTCAGCAAAACTTGATAAATCAGCATTTTCTAATAAATCTCTTTCTGCTGAAGAAATTATCAACCATTCCATTTTGTCAGGCATTAATGTAGACCGTAACTTGTTTTTAATCAATTTTAATTTCGAAAAACAACGTTCATTTGTCGCAACAGTTATTGGTAATGCAAGAAGAAATTGATAAATACGTGTAGCATTTGGATACCCATGTCGAATTATTTTAATTTTATTGATAAGTTCGGTCATTTCAGTATAACTATCAATATCATTTTT